TAAAACCCTATCTGGATATCAACAGTATGAATCTTCAGTTTACCTATCTGTTCCACTAGAGTGCTTCCTTTATACCAAGCTGCTAGTTTAGGTTCTGAGACTGTTTTAGCAAGGTTTTCCCCACCAAGTCCACTGCATGGAATATAGGACAGGTCCGAGTCTTTATAGCCAGCTTGCTTCAAGAACTGACCTAATTTTTTCACAATGTCATCATAACGGCTCTGTGACCAATCTACTGTGTCCATCTTGTTGACGGCAACTATTAGCTGTGACACTCCTACATGTATATGATAAAAACAAATATTAACCTGCAGTTACAAAAAATACATATTAAGTATTAAACATGTTCCTATATCTGCAATCAGTGTCTTTGATCCTACAAAATGTATTCTTTAGGGCTGTCACGAGTACCCGAAATAACCGAGAACCGCGGTCCAAGTTGTTCGGTTCGGTTCCGGTTCCATTTTTCCGGATTTCGGTTCGGGTCTGGTTTATATATTAGAGTCTGTTCAATACAAAAAATGGCGTCAAAATCAAAGGAATGATGACGATAACAGTGATAAATAAACATCACAACTGAAATCTACTTCATTCCATGACAAAACACTTGTCACGGAAGTATTAGATAATTATCAAAACGAGCAGGAATGGTCAGGTTGAGGCTAATAGTAGGCCAAGTCACCGATGTCTAGACGTTCGCATGGTTAAGACTTGTTTTCAATGTAAATTTAATGTAACAAATAAAGATTTTTCAAGTTAAATTCATGAAATGAAGGTTTAAAATAGATGTAAATACCCGACCCGAAAAACCCGAAACCGAACCGAAAATTTACAGAACCGACCCGACCCGAAAAATTTTGGAACCGTGACAGCCCTAGTATTCTTTACTGCCTACCTAGTGATCGAGCCAAGAGAGCATGTTCCCTAGTCTGACCCCCTGATTCAAATCCTGTCTCAAACTCCCCTCGTGTAGCGTTGACAACTAGAATAGCAACATCAGCTTGGGCAGTACCTGAAATATATATATGATACAACTCTATACAATAAGAATGAATCAGTCACTGTCTTAATACAAAACTTTTATGATTGATTTTTTTTTTTATATATCTTTCTTCATAAGAATGTTTATGCCCTGCCCTGAATATGGCCAAGGCATATAGTGTTTGTTATGTCCATCTTCCATCCATCACACTTTGTGTTTAGCTCAATTTCAAACAAACTATTTACCGGTAAGATATCTTTATCAAACTTCATATGCTGATACATACTGGTGAGAGCTATTCAACTGCACTGGAATTTTTTGAACTTGACCTTTCTTTTAATCTTGACTATTCAAAATATTTTTATCTGAACATATATACCGATGCATATTGGTGAGAACTATTGACCTTACTTTTCTTTATTTTGCAATTAGCTTATTTTCAGAGAAACTATTAAAGATATTATTTTAAACACATGCACTTACACATATTGGTAAGAACTTGTCAACTGTGTCCAATTTCTTTTTTATTCTGACCTTCCCTATAACCTTTGACTTTACTATCTGTTGTGTTTGAAACTCAGTTTTAAAGAAACTATTCAAAATACTTTCATCAAACTTCATGCACTCATATTAATTGGTGAGAGCTATTCAACTGTGTCATAATTCTCTCACCTTAACCTTCCCTGTAACCTTGACCTCACTATTTCTCATTTAACTGTATCTAATACAAAGAAGCAAGGTAATTTCTTTTCTTATTGCATTATTAAAGAACCCTGGGTGGGCATTCATGTCCTATGGACATATTTCTTGTTGTGCAGTAATGACTAGTAAACAGCAACTGCCAAAATTGCTGATGCAAGATTTCACCACAGCATGCCCTCTTAGAAAAAAAATGTAAAAGCCCATTACCTGTTATCATATTGGGAATAAAATCTTTGTGTCCAGGTGCATCTAATAATGTAATCTGCTTGTTGGGAGTCTCGAATGCTGTTTGAGCAATGTCCATAGTTACTCCCCTTGTCCTGTAATTTAAGTACATGTATCACATAAGAAACTGAGAAGTAAATAAAACTGAGCAACTAAAAAAAAATAATAATTACAAAATCATCCATGCCCTACAGCATGTTCACAATAATATTTTTGATTATTTAATCTTGAACTTTGAGCAACCTCAGATTGCAACCTCAGAAGACAGGGTGTCTTCCTCAAACCTTTCTTCACCTGTAGAGAATATACAGAACCATTTTTTTTTTAATAAGTGTCAATAAAAGTATTCAGACATATCAATATTGACCTTTTCACATTGACTATTGATTAAGTGACTCCAAAATATCATCCTCCTTTAACCATCCTCTGTTTTGAAAATGTCAGAAATCACTTAGTCAAATTACTATGTTAATAAGTGTTCACACACAGACTGACCCAATGACCCAATTGCAAGTAGCAAACCAAAACCCAAACTTGTAACTGATGCAACTCTCACATTTTTCATTTGCATAAGATAAAGATGCTTTTGGTATATGTATTTTCAATTTATATAAGAATAAGTACAATCAATATTTACAAATATCCAACCTTTCCTCCTCTGTTTCATCTAAGACCCAAGCAAAGGCAAATGATCCTTTGCCCTGTTTTCTGGACTCCTGTTCATACTTGTGCATGGCCCTCTTGTTGACTACCCCTAACTGATACAACAGGTGCCCCATCAGAGTACTCTTACCCGCATCTACGTGACCTGTAACAAAATGGTTAGTATTTCAAGTGCTTGTCAATGTGTACTTATACGCTGATAATTTTGTCCCATTTTATTTTCACCCCTTTTCCCACTGTAACAATTACATGCAGCAAAAAATAATCCTGCAAACAGTATTTCATTTTCAGGTCCAATCCACATATAAACCTATTGAAATGTTGCATCAGTTATTTCAATATTACAAACTCTGACATATACATTTTGCTAACACAGTTATAGGAAATACCAGATTTTTGTGGAAAGTATTTCTTTACAAAGAATAACAAAAAAGCCAATTGTGGAAACTGGATACAAATGACACAGTTTTAATGAAATGGCTCTCTGTCATTATATAAATTGTATTCTATATTGTATTCCATACATTTACAATACATCACCCTTACCTATAACAACCAAGTTCAGTAGATCTTTTCCACTCTTCCTCTTCTCAAATTCTTCCTTTAATTTTGCTTTATCCTGTTTCATTCTGTGTAAATGAAAATATGATTACATAAATTCAAATTGCAACACTATTGGTCCATAAATTTAAAATTTACCCACCCTTCTCTTTTTGACAAATTTCAATTTACGCAATCAACAAATCTTCCATTGACTCACTTTGATGTACTCTTTGGTGTTGCTGGGATACCGCTAGTTGATTTGCTGGGGGTAGCTAGTTCATTTTTCTGAGTCAGATCACCACTTAAATCCACCTCTGAATTCACAGATTTAAGGTTCACATCTACCACACTTTTACTTTCCTTGTTTCTAGAGGTCACTTCATTGTCTACATTTAAGTTTCCATCGTTAGTCCTCAATTCTTTTACACCATTTTTAACAGTACTAGGAACTGATTTGGTGTCGTTTACTGGGATTTTGACACTAGGTTCTGCATTGGATTCCAGTTTCATCTGTGAGGTGGCAGAAGTAGTGTTGGCCAAGTCAGGTGTTGGACTCTTTTTGACTGGTGTTCTTAATTGAACTGTTGGCTGAACAGGTGCAAACTCTGAAAGAAAAAAATTTGTAAAATATGATGTGTAGAATCCATTTATTTTTCTTACATTCCCTCAAAAGAACAATCCCTGATGTGATCATTTTACATATACATCAGTTAAATTCAAGCAAGTTTCTTTATCTCCAATAAAGTTTTTCAACATCAAATTTATTCTAGAAACAAATTTTACTAAGTGGATAAAATGTTATGTGAAACTTGAAGAATAGCGGAAGCAATATTCTTTCCTGGAAGTCATAATGAAATTACTAATACAAATAACTTCACCTACCTAATATACCCATTTTCTCAAATTCAACATGACCAACAGCAGCCATTATTATGGAATAATGAAAAATCATCAAGAGAGGAAAGTAGAGAAAAATGTCCACATCATGAAATAACTTAAAGAAATGATGTAATGTCTCCTTTTTATTTCTAATGCTTCTGTTTTTAACTTCATTGATTATTAGCCTTAAGATCTTTAATCTATTTTTGAATGCGATTTTGATTCAGTGTCCTTCCACTCAAGCCAATAGATGATGTACATGTACACTGAGGATTTTTTTCCCTTTAAATCACACAGTGTGTTGCAGCAAACTTCATAAATAAGAGCAGTGAGCTGAGTGGTTTCAGGTTTGGACTTGATCATCCCAGGCTGCACACCTCTGGGCGTTGTAGTGGACAGCCCCGAAACAACCACTGAAGGAGGATCCACCTGATGCCGGGACCATAATGCATCATATTTAATCAAGATGTATAGGTACAGGTTTTTACATGATGCTAAAAAAGGAGTCTTAATTGTTAACCAACTGCTACAGAAGTGTATCTCTGACCTGATAACCCAAGTGGTCTCATTCGTTCAATAGAATCCAACATGTTTCCTTTCAGTAAGCTACAGATGTAGGTAATACATCTACTGATAATGACATTCATGTATAATTCTCTGTTGTTTGAATATGATCATCAAATAAACAAATTAGAATGCTGCCTTTAATTATCAATTCAGTGGTATAAAAATACAGAGAAACAAAAAAAAACAAACATGAAAAATATAAATTGTACAAAGTCATAAATCAAAATCGGTGCATGTAAATTCCTAGAGATTTTTCTATTTACATTTTCATTTTATTATTTCTATTTACAAATTACATTTATTTCAATGCCTTGCATATCACATTTACATTTACATAAAGTGAATCAGCTGAAATAAATTACAGTAAAGAAAAAATAAATACATTATTAAATATCAAATTACAAATGCATTTCTTTCATTTTTAATCTTGCAGAAGGAAAACCTTCTTTGTTCACTAACTGTTATTTACTAACTGTTATTTACAAGTATATTTTAGGGTTTAGAGTTGTAAAAACTTCTTCAATTTTATTGCAGACATTATGCTGCTTATGTTAATTATGCATACTGAAACACATTTAATGCTTTCTAGTTCAAACAGTTCATTATGACAATAGATTGGGAGTATTAAGGGAATGCTATTTTGTCACTTGGAATCCACTCTTTGCCCTGAACGAGTAAAAGCTTTCTTCTGCTTTTCTTTTATGATATCATCTGGTGATGGTGTAGAGAAATCAAAAGTAGGAAACTTCTTTTGTTGTTCTGGTGAATGGCGACCTGTGTGTTGTTTTTGGTTCACAAATGAAAATGGCTGATTAGTATAATAATCATTACTCTTTAACTTCTTTTTCAGTACAGCAAAGTTTCCACAAATAACTTTTCCAACAAATGACGGCTTTTTGGTTAAGGTAAGTAAGGTGTCAAAATCTAAAGACAGCTTTTCAATGATTACATCTTCTGCTGATTTCTTAGTATTCAAATCAGTTTCCTCTGTTTGCATTTCCTGGCTATTTTCCTTTGATGATTTTGAAGGATCCAGCAACGACTTTTCCTTTGCCAACATTTTGAGTGAAATATTTTCGGAGGGAATACTTATTGGCTGAGTACTACTAGACATTCCTGCCATTTTCTTTGATCCTGAATCACTGCTGCCTTTAGTCTTCACTTTCTTTTGCTTTGCAAGTTCACTTAAACTAACAGTCAAAGCTGAACATCCAATCTGTTCTTGTTGTTTAGCAAGCTGACTTAGAGAAACCCCAGTACTATGTGAAGAGGCTTTGCTTTTTGATGCAAGCTGTGCTAGAGACATTGCTTTTTCTCCCTGTTTTGCTCTAACCCCAGATAGACCTTTCTGCTTTGTAGCCAGATCTGCTAAAGATGTCCCCTTTTGGTCTGTGGACAACTGGTCTTCAACTGTTGCTACTGAAAGAGCAGTGAGAGATTCCTGTTTTTGTGCTTTAGCAAGTTGAGCTAGAGATATTTTTGGTTTATCTGCAGTTGTAACTAAAGAGGAATCTTCTGGTGTTTTTCTAAGGTGGTTTAAAGAAGTTTCCTTTCCATTAGAAGCAAGCTGGGCTAAGGATATCCCCTTCTCTTTTGAGGCAAGTTGACTTAAAGACATCACTGGCTTTTTTGTCTCGGTCTCAGCAACAGACAGTCCCACTACTTTTGATGAGGTTGATGATTCCTTTTGTTTTGCAGCTAGCTGTGCTAGTGAGGGCTTTTTCGCCTCTGGATACATATTTCCCTTGTGTGCTGCAGCAAGCTGTGTTAGTGATGGACCTTGCTGTTTCAAGGCTATACCAGTCAATGCATTCTTTTGTTCTGCAAGTTGAGTTAGAGACAATTCCTTTTGTTCTGATGCCAACTGAGCTAAAGAAACTTCTTTCTTAGCTGCTGCAAGCTGTGATAGCGAAGGCTTTTTATGTTCAGCTGCAAGCTGAGCAAGTGAGAGACCTTGCTTTTTTACCTCTGAATTAGTTTCAAAATTGTCCTCTTCAACTTTTGAACATTTTTGTTTTTCTAAAGTTCCCTGACATTTTTCTGCTAAATGAGACAAACTACTGTCTGATTTACAAAAGCTTCTTTCAGAAATGTTTGATATTTGTCCCTGCATTAATTTTTGTTTATTTGTTGGAATGTAATCAACTTTGGGTGATGAACCAAATTTTAGAATTTTTGGAGACATTGCACTTTGACTTGTAAATATATTGCTGCATTCACCATCAGTTTCCAAAGATTCTAAAAAGCTATCAAAATCATCATCATCATCTTACCTTACCATCGCCAAATATTACATGAAATACCACCATTTCCAGCAAATTCCATAGAATCAGGTGAAGTTAACATGCAGCCAATCACCAACAAGTAGAGAGGTCATAGAAAGGTCATGGAAAAAAAACAAGAGGGCAAAATGTTAAGCAATGACTTAAGAAGCAAGGAGCAAACTAAATCTATCAGCTAAAAGGAAGTAAATATACTATAAATGAAGTATTTTACATAGTGATATCAACATTTTTTCACTCTAACTGTAAGAATTTTTGATAAATATAGTCACCTTGTCTGTTGGATCGTCTGTCTGGCCTTGGTTGTCTTTGTGGTTTTGGTGCCTCTGAAAACATGCGATAAAACAATGAAGTCATAATGAAAGAGTTCAGATTCATCTAAATTCACTGAATTAACATCAAATACTATGTGTTACAAAGACCTTTTAAAATGCATATTTTTATTATTTTGCAAGAACTTTTGATATTTTTTTTCTCAATGGTTTCAGTACAGTAATATTTTAACTCCATCATATACCACTCTGATTTAAAAGTTCATTCAAGGCAGCCTGAATGTTGTATTTATGCTTTACAACAGCCTGGGAAACAATGTGCTCTGGAATGGTATCCCCTAGGACATTTCCTATCTCCTCCAAACAAGAGTTCAGTTTAGCTGTAAACAGAGTACATGAAATAATCATACTATGAAACATAGGTAACCAGAGATTACAGAGCTCACCTCAATGAATGTTGTCTTTAAGTAAGGCAAAGTTACACACTAAACTAATAATCTAGGAGTGTGCATCCCTAGATGCAACATTTATGCAATTTTGGTCTGATAGGGCTTGCAGTTACTTGGGAATAGACTTATCTGAAAACTTAAAACTAGTCACTCATCCAGAAAATGTAAGTCAAATCCAGCATCCGAAGCAAGTTTTGAGATTGTTCGTCCCTTGATGCATCATCCATGCAAGTTTGGTTCAGATAGGCCTTATAGTTACTTGGAAATGAGATCTGCTCCAAAAACTTTAACCTGGTTACTCATCCGGAAAATATAACTCAGATCCAGCCTCTGAAGCAAGTCCAGTAGTGTGCATCCTTAGATGTATCATCCATGCAAGTTTGGTCAATATAGGGTTTATAGATACTTGGAAATGACATCTGCTCCAAAAACTTTAACCTAGTCACTCATCCGGAAAATGTAGGTCAGATCCAGCATCCGAAGCAAGTCCAGTAGTGTACATCCTTAGATGTATCATCCATGCAAGTTTGGTCAATATAGGGTTTATAGATACTTGGAAATGACATCTGCTCCAAAAACTTTAACCTAGTCACTCATCCGGAAAATGTAGGTCAGATCCAGCATCCGAAGCAAGTCCAGTAGTGTACATCCTTAGATGTATCATCCATGCAAGTTTGGTCAATATAGGGTTTATAGATACTTGGAAATGACATCTGCTCCAAAAACTTTAACCTGGTTACTCATCCATAAAATATAGGTCAGATTCAGCATCCGAAGCAAGTCCAGTAGTGTGCATCCTCAGATGTATCATCCATGCAAGTTTGGTCAGTATAGGGTTTATAGATACTTGGAAATGAGATCTGCTCCAAAAACCTTAACCTGGTCACTCATCCGGAAAATATAGGTCAGATCCAGCATCCGAAGCAAGTCCAGTAGTGTGCATCCTTTGATGTATCATCCATGCAAGTTTGGTCAATATAGGGCTTATAGTTACTTGGAAATGAGATCTACTCCAAAAACTTTAACCTAGTCACTCATCTGGAAAATGTAGGTCAGATCCAGCATCCGAAGCAAGTCCAGTAGTGTGCATCCTTAGATGTATCATCCATGCAAGTTTGGTCAATATAGGGCTTATAGTTACTTGGAAATGAGACCTGCTCCAAAAACTATAACCTAGTCACTCATCCGGAAAATGTAGGTCAGATCCAGCATCCGAAGCAAGTCCAGTAGTGTGCATCCTTAGATGTATCATCCATGCAAGTTTGGTCAATATAGGGTTTATAGATACTTGGAAATGACATCTGCTCCAAAAACTTTAACCTGGTCACTCATCCGGAAAATATAGGTCAGATCCAGCATCCGAAGCAAGTCCAGTAGTGTGCATCCTTAGATCTATCATCCATGCAAGTTTGGTCAATATAGGGCTTATAGTTACTTGGAAATGACATCTGCTCCAAAAACTTTAACCTAGTCACTCATCCGGAAAATGTAGGTCAGATCCAGCATCCGAAGCAAGTCCAGTAGTGTACATCCTTAGATGTATCATCCATGCAAGTTTGGTCAATATAGGGTTTATAGATACTTGGAAATGACATCTGCTCCAAAAACTTTAACCTGGTCACTCATCCATAAAATATAGGTCAGATCCAGCATCCGAAGCAAGTCCAGTAGTGTGCATCCTTAGATCTATCATCCATGCAAGTTTGGTCAATATAGGGCTTATAGTTACTTGGAAATGAGATCTACTCCAAAAACTTTAACCTAGTCACTCATCTGGAAAATGTAGGTCAGATCCAGCATCCGAAGCAAGTTCAGTAGTGTGCATCCTTAGATGTATCATCCATGCAAGTTTGGTCAATATAGGGCTTATAGTTACTTGGAAATGAGACCTGCTCCAAAAACTTTAACCTGCTCCAAAAACATTAACCTGGTCATTCTTTAGCTGAAATTGCAGCATCTGAAACCTTGACTGGTACAATAAAACACACTAGAAGCATCCTCCATGCATCTCTGACTAATATAGGCCATAGAAGTACTTGAAAAGAAAACTGCTCCAAAAACCTTAACCTGGGACTCCGACGCCGAGGGTATTACATAAGCTCCCCCAACTTCGTTGAGGTGAGCTAAAAACTAAATGTAAAAACATTATTACAGAAACTGATCTTACTTCTTATAATTAAAACATCTCAAAGTAAAACTTATCTCATCAAATTAAACAATTTGATCTAAGAAATTATAACATTCATTTTCTGATTAAAAGAGACTATGTTTTTTTTTTTTTTAGGAACCAGAAAAATAGTTATAGACATGTTAAAACCAGAAGTCTCTGATGAGACTGTAGCTCTACTGGTCTGTCTGTATAACAAAAGAAAAGTAGCACTTGGATTTGAAGCATTGCAACATGCAACAATAAATAGAATTATGTATCTTAATGTAGTCTACTTTTGTGACAAGTTATATTGAAATCAAATGAAAACTAGGAGTAGTAGCGTTTTGAAAGTATTTCACTAAAATTTCTATTTTTAGTAACCATGACAACACCATTCACCCAAATAAAAAAAACAGAAATACATATTATGTATCGTAGTGTATTCTAACTGTGTGCCAAATTAGATTGAAATCAGACCAAAATTGTAGGAGGAGTAACGTTTTAAAGGAATTTCAAAGAAATTTCTATTTTTAGTAACCATGGCAACACTGTTCATTGAATTCAAAAACCAATGCAATAAATTATGTATCTTAGTATAGTCTTCTTGTATGCCTAATTATATTAGAAGCAGACTAAAACTGTAGCAGGAGTAGTGTTTTAAAGGAATTTCACAGAAATTTCTATTTTTAGTAACCATGGCAACACCGTCAATTGAATAAAAAACCGATGCAATAAATTATGTATCTTAGTGTAGTCTACTTGTGTGCCAAGTTATATTGAAATCGGACCAAAACTGTAGGAGGAGTAGCGTTTTAAAGGAATTTCACAGAAATTTCTATTTTTAGTAACCATGGCAACACCGTCCATCGAAATCAAAAACCGATGCACTAAATTACGTATCTTAGTGTAGTCTACTTGTGTGCCGAGTTATATTGAAATCGGACCAAAACTGTAGGAGGAGTAGTGTTTTAAAGGAATATCACAGAAATTTCTATTTTTAGTAACCATGGCAACACCGTCCATCGAAATCAAAAACCGATGCACTAAATTATGTATCTTAGTGTAGTCTACTTGTGTGCCAAGTTATATTGAAATCGGACCAAAACTGTAGGAGGAGTAGCGTTTTAAAGGAATTTCACAGAAATTTCTATTTTTAGTAACCATGGCAACACCGTCCATCGAAATCAAAAACCGATGCACTAAATTATGTATCTTAGTGTAGTCTACTTGTGTGCCGAGTTATATTGAAATCGGACCAAAACTGTAGGAGGAGTAGCGTTTTAAAGGAATTTCACAGAAATTTCTATTTTTAGTAACCATAGCAACACCGTCCATCGAAATCAAAAACCGATGCACTAAATTATGTATCTTAGTGTAGTCTACTTGTGTGCCGAGTTATATTGAAATCGGACCAAAACTGTAGGAGGAGTAGCGTTTTAAAGGAATTTCACAGAAATTTCTATTTTTAGTAACCATGGCAACACCATCCATCGAAATCAAAAACCGATGCACTAAATTATGTATCTTAGTGTAGTCTACTTGTGTGCCAAGTTATATTGAAATCGGACCAAAACTGTAGGAGGAGTAGCGTTTTGAAAAATTGTTTACAGACAGACGGACAGACAGACAGACAGACAGACAGACAGACAGACAGACAGACGGACGGACGACGGACACCTTACTATCGCATAAGCTCTTCTGGTCTCTGACCAGTAGAGCTAAAAACTTGTTACACTAGTGATAATTCAAATGATAAAATGTTTTTTTCTGAATTCTTCTCTTTTTTTGTCTTAGTAAAGAAGACAGTTCTCTGGCAGTAGACAGTAAACATTGAAACAGTGCATGTGAAAAAATGCTACTGGAGACTGCCCTGGAAACTTGAAACTCTCAATTATGTCTCATCATTTGTACTTAAAAATAAAAGGAATATCTGGACATACTGCAAGCAAATGATAATTGATTTCACATGTATGTACCTTTCATTATTTTGCTCTGATAGTACACTACAGATATCATGACTTTTTCCAATAATCCAGCAGATGTCTATATACTGAAGTTTTACTATATTTTAATTGTACACACATTTAATTTGATATTAAGATAAAATTAAAAACCCATAAAATTGAAATTAATAACCTTGTTCAATGTCATCAAGTTTAATCTTGTCTCTCCCAGAATCACTAAGTGGCTCAAGGTCACTTTCACTTTCATCTTCCTCCTCGGGAATTCCCTCCTCCATATACGACGACAAGTTAACATCTCTCTCTCTGTTGAATGTGAACTGGGCAGCTACAGAAACATAGAATACAATTATTATATCTTGCTGGTACATTTTAGATAACTTACATTTCGAATTGCAATACAAAAGGATGTGTTTCACTTTAGTATGTTTCCTTCTTACTATTATGTTTATAATATTTTCGAAATGTTCAAAAATATGTTGAATGCATTAATATGATACAATTGTTCAGTTACCTGTTGCTGGTGAAACACAGTAGCTATCATCATAAGAATGTCCATAGACTTCATCTTCATCATAATATTCTGAAAGATAAATCACTGTCTTAGAAAAAAATATGGAAATTTTTTTTTTTATTCATCATGAGAGATTGACATTTTAAGGATTTCAAATTTTAACAAGAGGCCTAAGGGCCTTAACGGTCACCTGAGTCTAATACAACAATCTGGAGGATCCATAGAGTATAAAATGAACTGAAAGGTGAAGCTTTGCTGCCCAAGAAAAATAATGTGATCAGAATCAACAAAATAATTAGTCTAGTATTCATTAACAGTTCATAAATTAGGTTCTAATCTGTTCCTCACTTATCACTATCACCATACAGTATATTAACAAACTATCAGTGCTTTTGTACTATTTTAATTCCTTGGTCTTTGATGAACATTTAATAAGACAAGTTATTTTTGTTTCATTTTTAGCTCACCTCAACGAAGTTGGGGGAGCTTATGTAATACCCTAGGCGTCGGCGTCCCAGGTTAAGGTTTTTGGAGCAGTTTTCTTTTCAAGTACTTCTATGGCCTATATTAGTCAGAGATGCATGGAGGATGCTTCTAGTGTGTTTTATTGTACCAGTCAAGGTTTCAGATGCTGCATTTTCAGCTATAGAATGACCAGGTTAATGTTTTTGGAGCAGGTTAAAGTTTTTGGAGCAGGTCTCATTTCCAAGTAACTATAAGCCCTATATTGACCAAACTTGCATGGATGATACATCTAAGGATGCACACTACTGGACTTGCTTCGGATGCTGGATCTGACCTACATTTTCCAGATGAGTGACTAGGTTAAAGTTTTTGGAGTAGATCTCATTTCCAAGTAACTATAAGCCCTATATTGACCAAACTTGCATGGATGATACATCTAAGGATGCACACTACTGGACTTGCTTCAGATGCTGGATCTGACCTATATTTTATGGATGAGTGAACAGGTTAAAGTTTTTGGAGCAGATGTCATTTCCAAGTATCTATAAACCCTATACTGACCAAACTTGCATGGATGATACATCTAAGGATGCACACTACTGGACTTGCTTCGGATGCTGAATCTGACCTATATTTTATGGATGAGTGACCAGGTTAAAGTTTTTGGAGCAGATGTCATTTCCAAGTAACTATAAGCCCTATATTGACCAAACTTGCATGGATGATACATCTAAGGATGCACACTACTGGACTTGCTTCGGATGCTGGATCTGACCTAAATTTTTGGGATGAGTGACCAGGTTAAAGTTTTTGGAGCAGATGTCATTTCCAAGTAACTATAAGCCCTATATTGACTAAACTTGCATGGATGATACATCTAAGGATGCACACTACTGGACTTGCTTTGGATGCTGGATTTGACTTACATTTTCTGGATAAGTGTTCAGGTTAAAGTTTTTGGAGCAGATGTCATTTCCAAGTAACTATAAGGCCTATCTGAACCAAACTTGCATGGATGATGCATCAAGGGACGAACAATCTCAAAACTTGCTTCGGATGCCGGATTTGACTTACATTTTCTGGATGAGTGACTAGTTTTAAGTTTTCAGATAAGTTTATTCCCAAGTAACTGCAAGCCCTATCAGACCAAAATTGCATAAATGTTGCATCTAGGGATGCACACTCCTAGATTATTAGTTTAGTGTGGGACTTTGCCTTACTTAAAGACAACATTCGTTGAGGTGAGCTCTGTAATCTCTGATTACCTATGTTTATTTATCTATTGCTTACAAGTCTACCTGATCATTAAAACTATGAAAGTACTTTTTGTATTATACAATAAAAACTCTTGCATAATTCTCTTATTCTACTAACCTTTCAAGTGCATTATTTACAGTGATTGTCAAAAGTAAATGGCAAAGGGGGATAACTCCTCTCAGTAGAATACAAATTAATAGAGCCCTGGCCAGGACCAGGCCCCAGGACCATAAAACTTAGACAAGCTCACTTTTGATCTCAGTCTCACTTTTCCACTATTAAATTCTTTGGTAAAAGTGAGACTGAGATCAAAAGTGAGATTGTCTAAGTTTTATGGCCCCAGAGCCAGAACATTTGACCAAATGGTGCAGATGTTCAAAAATCTGGTAAAAATACCCTTCCTTATTAAAACTTTTACTCTTTTTGCCTCTGATATGCCCAGGTGCAGAGAAGGTTTTTAAAGAAATAATGAATTTTTACTACAGATTCACTATATTATCAATAGAGCACCCCCCCCCCCCACTGAGATATATCAGAGCCCTTGACCCTGGGACCAATATTGTTTATTTGCTTAACACTAAGGAGCAGACAGGATTATTTAATAGAATTAACACATTTTCACTATACATGTATTATCAAGAGCCCCACCCTTACACCAGCACATCTGACCCAGGGGTCATGCAATTCACTAGTCTGGAAGAAGCACTCTTGCTCATCATAACTATACACTTAGCTTCTTTGCTTTTTAACCAAAAGCGAGAAAAGAATTTTGTTTTTTCACTATATAATCAATAGAGCCCCCCCCCCCCTCCTTTTTCAACAGAACCCTTGACCCTGGGGCCATGAAATTCACAAGTTTGGAAGAAGCATCCTTGTGTATCATAACAATGTACTTAGTTTGTTTAAATAATACCCAGGGGCAGAGAAGAAGATTTTCAAAGAAATAATTAAGATCAATTTAACTGTTTTGTTTTACACATTGATGGAGTCTGCTGCACTATAAAAATTCCATCACAATGTGTTCATAAATAATTGAGTCCCACTGCCCACCAATCTTTCCATTCCTTTCAAACTCTCAGGTACTTTTTAATTCAAAGTGTTTCTTGAAGTCAGTGATAGTCTCTGTCTCAACTTTTCTCTTCACATCATTAGTCATTTCAACATGGTGACTGGAAGCTGCAGAATTGTAGTTCTCCGAAAAAAAAAATATTGACAGACCACAGAGCTACAGTGCCACCCATAACAAGAGGCCCATGGGCCTTGAATCGCTCTTCTGATAAACTGTGCAACCTATCACTTCTATCTGAACCCTCGAAGTATCCTGTATATTTAGATAAACCCTTGAAATTCCAATTCACACTCTGAGAACCCAAGATGATTCTAAGCCAATTAGTACCTGAGAGTTGGTCATGGTGACCCACTTATCACTTGTCATTGTCTGAGGACCCATCAACTAAGTTTGATGATTCTAAGCCAATTAATACCTAAAATATTTTCTACAATTATAACCATAAAATTTTATAAGTAGGTCAAAGTGACCTACTTTTCAATTGTTGTACTCCAAGGACCCAAGATGCATCAATTGACAAAGTTTGATGATTTTAAGCCAATAAGTACCTGAAATATTTAATTAAAGCCATAAATTTTCAAAAGTAGGTCACGATGACCTACTTTTCAGTTGCTGTACTCCGAGGACCAAAGATACATCGACTGACAAAGTTTGATGATTCTAAGCCAATAAGTACCGAAAATATTTAATTAAAGCCATAAATTTTCAAAAGTAGGTCACAGTGACCTACTTTTCAGTCAATCTACTCCGAGGACCAAAGATGCATCAACTGACAAATTTTTGACGATTCTAAGCCAAATAATTCCTGAAAATATTAAATACAGCCATAAAATTTCAAAAGTAGGTCACCGTGACCTACTTTTCAGTTGTCGTTCTCCAAGGACCCAAGATGCATCAACTGACAAAGTTTGACGATTCTAAGCCAAAAAGTACCCAAAATATTTAATTAAAGCCATAAATTTTTAAAAGTAGGTCACCGTGACTTACTTTTCAGTTGTTGCACTCCGAGGACCCAAGAAACATGAACTGACAAAGTTTTATGATTCTAAGCCAATTAGTACCCAAAATATTTAATTAAAGCCATAAATTTTTGCAAGTAGGTCATGGTGACCTACTTTTTAGTCGACCTACTCCGAAGACCCAAAAGTCATCAACTGACAAAGTTTGATGATTCAAAGCCAATTAGTACCCCATACATTTAATTAAAGCCATAAATTTTCAAAAGTAGGTCACTGTGACCTACTTTTTAGTCGACCTACTCCGAAGACCCAAGATGCATCAACTGACAAAGTTTGATGATTCTAAGCCAATTAGTACCTGAAATATTTAATTATAGTCATATAAATTGAAAAGTAGGTCACGATGACCTACCTTTCAGTTGACCTTTTTTGAGGACCCAAGATGCATCAACTTACAAAGTTTTATGATCATAAAACTAAAAATGTCCAAATTATGCTTCTAAAACGCTTTGAAATCAAATGCCTGCAAAGTTCAAAAAGTACGTTACTGTGACCTACTTTTTAATAAATATGTTTTAAGGCCCCAAGATGCATCATCTTACAAGATTTAATGATTCTAAACCTCTCGGTATTCGAATTAATGACCTTAATTGTTTTGAGAAAGATAAGCCATAAATTTCAAAAAGTAGGTCAAGGTGACCTACTTTTTAGTTGACATACTTCGAGGACCTAAGATACATAAACTGACAAAGTTTGATGATCATAGGCCTTAAATTGTTCAAAATATGCCTCTAAATCATTTTGAAAAAGAATAGCCGCAAAATTTAAAAAGTAGGTCACCATGACCTACTTTTGAGTCAACATGATATGAGGTCCTTAGATGCATCAACTGACAAGATTTGATGATCCTAGTCCTTATAGTAAGCAAAATATCAACATTTTAATACAAGAGGCCCATGGGCCACAACGCTCACCTGAGTAACTTTGGCCTTGCTGTTTTTCACCCGATTTCCCCTTGTAATACCTATTGTGGCCCCGCCCTACCCCCGGGGGTCATGATTTTTACAATTTAGAATCTACACTACCCCAGGATGCTTCCACATAAGTTTCAGCTTTTCTGGCCCAGTGGTTCTTGAGAAGAAGATTTTTAAAGATTTTTTCTACATATTTCAATGTAAAACTTGGATTCCCTATTGTGGCCCCGCCCTACCCCCGGGGGTCATGATTTGAACAATTTAGAATCTACACTACCCAAGGATGCTTCCACATAAGTTTCAGCTTTTCTGGCCCAGTGGTTCTTGAGAAGAAGATTTTTAAAGATTTTTTTCTACATTTTTCAATGTAAAACTTGGATTCCCTATTGTGGCCCCGCCCTACCCCCGGGGGTCATGATTTTAACAATTTAGAATCTACACTACCCCAGGATGCTTCCACATAAGTTTCAGCTTTTCTGGCCCAGTGGTTCTTGAGAAGAAGATTTTTAAAGATTTTTTCTACATTTTTCAATGTTAAATCTTGGATTCCCTATTGTGGCCCCGCCCTACCCCCGGGGGTCATGATTTTAACAATTTAGAATCTACACTACCCCAGGATGCTTTCACATAAGTTTCAGCTTTTCTGGCCCAGTGGTTCTTGAGAAGAAGATTTTTTAATGACCCCACCCTATTTTTGTCTTTTCTTGATTATCTCCCCTTGGAAGGGGGCTTGGCCCTTTATTTTAACAATTTAAACTCCCCTTCATCCAAGGATGCTTTGTACCAAGTTTGGTTAAAATTGGCCCAGTGGTTCTTGAGAAGAAGTTGAAAATGTGAAAAGTTTACAGACGGACGGACGGACGACGGACAACGGGTGATCAGAAAAGCTCACTTGAGCTTTCAGCTCAGGTGAGCTAAAAATGTAATTTTTGGTCAACTTTGAAGTGACCTTGAGACCACGCCCTTTGCCCCAGGGTAAATCCCCATGGAAATTTTAATCTACAGCATATCCTCATCCTTTTGTGTAAGTTTGGTGATAATCTGCCCAGTGGTTCTTGAGAAGAAGATTTTTTAGCAACCAGTACTTTTGTTTCTATTTTCCTAATTATCTCCCCTTGTTAAAGGGTCACAACCCCAGTTTTAGTACAAAAGGGAGCCCTTGGGCCAAGGATACCTTGTGACAAATTTGACAATAATTGGCCAAGGGGTTCTTGAGTTATGGCCCATATTCTAAAAAGTTTACGCACACCGCACGCCGTTTGGCTCAGAAGAGCTAAAAATGTATATTTATTGTGCATGGTTCTGTATTTATTTCTCCAAATTATTACTGCAACTGCACAAAGGCCCAATTTCAAAAAAAAAAATCTTAAGACCTCTATTAAATACTCTTGTATTTGACATCTGCATGAAGTGCATTGGGTTGAAGTGTCGTGCCACCAAAAATGGCAGTATGAATAGGTGAAATTTTGGATGGTCTCAACTTCAGGCCCAGGAGGGCTATTAACAACGGTTATTGGAAATGTTTGGATGTGGATCAAGGACCTATATACTAACAGGATAGGCAACTCCTTCAGCACCATGTTTATTTACCCAAAATGTCATGTATAACACTACAAGTTTTTCAAACTAAGTTTATTCCCAGTAAAAAGCCTGTTTTCTGAATAATGTAATCTGTTCTTTTTGTATATTAAAATGTATGTTTAATAAATTTTAAAGCATACATTATAATATTAATATAAGTATAAATCAAACAAACACAAAAATCGGCGAAAATCTCGGAAATACAGCCGACCAAGGGCATGTGCTGATTTTGAAATAAAGGTAACTACTACTAAGCTTAGGAGTATAAACAGTGGCAACAACAAATCTTGAATAATTTTTTGATAGCTAAATTAATAGCTAAATTAAGGTTTTGATCTGAAATATTTGATTATAATTATGTTTAATTAAAATTGACTTATAAAATCCTTCAGCTTATGAGATATCCTGAGACTTGCGAGAGTTGTCTATCCTGTTAGTATATAGGTCCCTGTGTGGATATAGTAGATGAATATGTTAGGACCACATGGTTAGTAATATTTTAAGATGGCAGTTGAAATGCACTTTTTTGGTGCTCAATAAATATACACTTTTTCAGTGGGTGGCACTGTAGCTCTCTGGTCACTCATCCTAATTTTTTCATACCAGCAAGCTACAGATTTGCAGCTAGGTGACCAGAAACAAAAAAATATAAATAACAAAGCTTTATAAAAAGTGGGAATAGGTGGAAGACAAAACCTTTTTCGTGCCTGTGTTCAGGCATTTGGGTAGTGCTTTTTAATTTGGCACACACTGTATGTAAAGTGCATTTCATGTGCCTTTCTGCAACCCAGCTATATTTGCATGAATTGTCTTCGTCAGACAGTGACTAGTAAATTACATCAAAGTGGTCTTCAAGAGACCTGAAAGAATTCGTAATGGGGAATTACAGATTCTAAATATGTCGTGTGACGTATAACACTTCCTTGCAAACATCTGGTAAATATTGGTGTTACAGACAGAGGAATCTCGGGTTACTATTAGTATTAAGGTAAAAAGAGATTGCGTTATATTATCAAAATATACAACATCATTAATCCCAAACCATCATCATAGTTCATAGTCCGCACATTACGATGTCTTGACATTTTGAAGGTACTTCCTACAAATAAATATGCTAGTTAAGTTGGAAAATACGACATATTTTTCGCCGCGTTGGCTGTGTTCTCCCCCGAAAGTTGGAAAATATAGGACACTCTGTTTAGCCACATTTACGCAAATTTCGTAGAAGAGTTGATTGAATTTTTATGTAAATTCATCAAAACAACAAGAAGATGAAATATAGGTCTCTTTTCTTTTGAACAAATAATTCATACATATGAATTGCTGGTTATGTTCTTCTTATACATATATTTTTTTAAAAATACGAAAATAAGAGCGGAAAACTTTGAAAGTGAAAGTGCACATGTTTGTTGGTATTGCTGCTAAGAATTGTGTAAGTAGATCTTCTGGCTCTGATTTTCAAACTCTAAAATTACTCACAGGTGCTTGGGGACAGGACACCCCCCCTACGTTCCGTATCCCAAGGGTTCTCCGATTTTTTTAATATATGAAATAGTTTTCTTTGACACATCCACGAGGTAATACAACTGAAAAATCCAGAATTAAACTTAAAACTTACCTTTTACAGAAATTCACACTCTCTGATACTGTAAGAGAACAAGGTTGTCAAGGTTGGTGCGATTGTGCAAAGATGCATTCATTGCATTGGTGCAATAGTGCAATGATAATGATGCAATCAGGTCCAGCACAATCTCTTGATTTAGCTACAGTAAACATCTTTTATAACGTATCTCAAGGGACTGTGATAAATCCTACGTTATAACCAGTGTACGTTATAAACGGAGACCGGAAGTACTCAGTACACCTTTACCGTAAACACATTTCAAACCACTAGTGTGTTATTAATATTTTAAAGTATTTATAGTATGTTAATAAATGATTTACAGGTATATTTGGTTTCATTTCTTCTATTAAGAAAGATTAATCTTCAATAACATTTTATTTTCGCAAAGTATAAATTATTTCAATGGCACTAAGTGCTGCACAATCTTGATGATCGTCAGATCATTTTAAAAAAGTTTTGTCTGTTTGGCTTGATGACATTTTTTTAAATTTCCACAGTTGCCAGAGCGGAGAAAACACTTTCTTTCACACATTCAAACAAATTTACGAAGTTGTAATTTCGGACAAAAGCCCTGTAATTGATCGTCTGGGTAGATGGTATACATGTGTCAGGCACTCTCTTGTCGTCCTCGCGGTCTATGGATTTTATTCAAACAATTAATTATGAATACATCTACCTGATGAACTTTATTTAAATAATACATCTACCTGATGAACTTTATTTAAATAATTTATTATAATACATCTACCTGAAACAACAAAGAAACCTCGTTAGAAAAACACATTAAGGCGCATGCAGCTATGAAATCAATAAACCATGACTAATCAAGCTATGAAATCAATAAACCATGACTAATCCATGGTCACCGAGCTGATAGAAAAGGTGTGAAACCAGGTGTCAGAATACGTTATAAGAGGTGTAATTATGTAACGGGACCAAATTTCAAATACTTTATAAGCAATACTATGTTATATACAAATACGTTGTAAGGGGTGCTTTTTCCAATGAAATATATAGACACTTTGCTGGAACTACAGAATTGCTACTATACATCTGGAGATACTTTATAACCGAGCAAGTTATAAAGAAGTTTACTGTTACAGTATATAGCTTGAAATAGCTATATAGCTTTATCAAGCTATTCAAAATAGCTTGATAAAGCTATTTATATGCAGTTTTTCAGAAAACTGTTTTTTGTAAGAAATAGACAAAAAGTCACATGTATTTGACTATTCATAAATGTACTATGCGCTATCAAGACAACAAACAAAATGAAAGATAGCTAGTTCTAACATTGCAGCAATTGAATACTTTTAAGCAAAAGATGAATTTCCATTGTTTGGGGAACTGTACACTACCTTGTGTGCATTGAGGCATGGATAAGTATGATTGCTTCTCATTGTACTGAATTATTATCAATCAACAAAATGATCAATTTTCTTGTTGACCATAATTGGCCTCCTTTATAATTTCATTGAAGAAGTAACTGTATCAGTTCTTTATATAGCCCCAAAACTTTTAGAACTTTGAGTACAAAGTCTCTTAAGGAGACACAATTTGATGACTGATTTTTATATGTATTATTTTCAGAAGAGTTCAAGGTTGAATATTATCACTGCACCAATGTGTGACTTTTTGTGCATGCTGAGAAAATAACACATTTAAGAAAAAGGTGTGATAAAATAGCTAAATCAAGCTACTCTGAATAGCTTAATAAAGCTATATATAGCTAAATCAAGAGATTGTGCCGGACCTGGCAATGGCACGATAATACAATGACAATGTTAAGATGGAGAGATAGGGTGACAATGCAGTAATACATTCGCTATCGTTCTGTAGTGCCATCATCACTGCAGTATTTTAACATTGCATAATTTTAAAAAATAACTTTAAAAAAAATGGGTGAAAAAATAGCTTTGAACATTTTAATTTTGTAACCCTAGTTAGATTTTTACTCATTTTTAAAAGTATTACTTTCAGAATCTTAATATAATCACTGGTACATGTACTATGGTACCAGTAACCATATTAATAATTTTATTTGACAATTGCAATAAGTCATTTGAAGGAAGTATCTCTGAAAACCCATTTCTTTTTTCTGAAAGAGCATTGATGTAATTACTTGATGTTAAGTCAGTGTTTAAGTCACCCAAGTCCAATTTTTGTTTGTCATTGTGTGACATTTGTTGGCAGTAAACTTGGATATTTTCAGCTTCTTCTTTGGAAAGACAGATCCAGTTTTGGTTCATAGGATCTATGGATAAAAGAAAACAAAAACTGATATTTATGGTCTCAACCTCCCTGCGGCATGAGGGGTGTGGTCAAAACCATAAAATTAATGTCATCTTCAAAAATCTTTTTCTTTACCCCTAGATATCAAGTAGTCTTCTCAAAAACAGCAGGGCTATATTAATACAGAAGTTCCAATTCAAGTTTATTCAAATCATGGTTCATTTGTAAGGATAGGGTGGGGCCATAATAGGGGATCAAACTTAAACATGTGAATATAGAGGAAAAAAGTCTTTCAAAGTCATCCTCTCAAGAAAGGCAAGGCCATGGTAAATACTGTTAATATGCAGATATCTTCAGGTGGTCTACATTTAAAATTGTTCAAATCATGGTTCCTTGAGGTAAGGTAAGGCCAGATTAGGGGATCAGATTTTTACATGTGAATGCAGAGGAAATTGAAAAAAAATCTTTTTTCAAGAGTCAGAGTAGCAGGGCCAGTCTAAATCATATTAATATGCAAATCATTTTAATTCTATAAAATAATTGATTCTGATTGGATAAAAAATTCTTTTGATAACTGCATCAATAGAATCTGCAGTTCACTTGCAGTTAGCAACCCGAACTACTTTGGCTGACTTTACATGTATATTTCCCGCTTCCAGATTACTTTGTGAAAGAGAAAATTAAATACTTTCACTCTATTTTCCTGATTTTCAAAATTTGTCCATTACATTCCTGAGTTATTTTCTGCTTTCGTTTCTTGTTATTCTTAATTATCCCCCTTTGCAAAACAAATCAGATCGTCTGCAATGACAACAATGCAGTTGCGGAAAAGAAGGAAAGAAATCATCATACCTAGAGGTGTAAGGATATGTCAATACATCGGTCATATTGATAGCAAGGGCTCATGATATGCATATCGTATCACCATGTATGTATGGTGATACAGTACAAGATAATTTTCATTGATTTTCTACTTCTACATACAACTTAACAAATTTTATTTTTTTAAAATGGCTGAAACCAAGGTAGCAAAGAAAAAAATACAAGGTCAAGACTATAAATCCACCTTTTATTAACTTTGAGTCAGAGGTATCAAGATATTCTTTTTATATTTTCTATAATCATGGAGGTTAGCAAAAAATAATATGTAAAGATAACAGTTAATTCAATGGTTGACAGCTGTATTGTGAACTGTACATGTTGTCAGGGTTCAAAATTCATTATATACAACTTGCAAAATGCGAGTTAGGATTCCCAAATTGTGAGTTAAAAATTAGGTAACTCGCAAAAACTTGCGAGTTGATTTTTATTGCATTGAAACTGTAGCAAAATTATATAATATGACAGAACACAATGCTTTTGATTTAAATCAGTAATTTAAATTTTGATTTAAATTAGTAATTTAAATAAAAGTCACACTGTAGTTGTATTTTGTGTATTGTACAGTAGTTACTTTTTCCTTAAGTTGCATGTATTTAATTTATATAAATTTAACTTTATATGAAAATTGTGAGAAGTCTTATAAAATTGCGAGTTCACTTTCTTGGTACTCGCAATTATTTGCCAGTTGTAATTTTAGGGAGTTTCTAACCCTGGTTGTATCACATGACCGTATCATATGTATCGTTAAGTAACATGCGATACTCAAGCCTAATCATAGTTACATATATTAAATGTTTGTCTTTAAGATAACTGGTATAAACATTAGAACTGTGAAGAAATGTTTTTAACCTACCAAAGCGTGGAAATGCTGTTAATCTGTTCATTCTTAGGAAATGATCGAATGCTTGAGAAAAAACAACACTGAGCAAGGACGGAATTCTTTCAATGTTAAACAGTCAGCAAGAGACTCTTTCAGGTTTTACAGCATGTTGTGTTATGCATGGACAGGTTGTGATGTTCGGTTTGAAATTCAGATGAAGAGATTCGCAAATGAAATCCAAAATTTCTGAGACCTAGAAAGAGTTGTTAGGGTTATATTTGAGTAGCTTCCCTTTACATTTACGAACCTAAAGATATCAGCTTTCCGGGGGAAATATACCCAATGGGATATAGCAAAAATTAAAAACACAACAGTAATTTTTTTTGTTAAAACTATCATTGTTATAAAGAGCTGGTAATGACACGACAATATTTAAGAAGGTTGTTTCTTCATTATGTATTACTATGCATCTGTGAAAATTTAGGTAACCATAAGCTATATGTTGGACAGTCATTCGTTCTCAAGTTAAATCTCATCATTGAAAGATAAATACCGTATAAGTGGAAATTTTAGTGAGACGCAAATTTAGCGATTTGTCCTTAAAAATCAATATTTAATTTAAGCAATTTTATGATGCACAGAAAGATAATGGTTACTTTAATACGGAATGAATTGTTAGCAATGTTTAGCAATCTCAACACCCTCACTAAAAATGCCAAAATTGAATCCTCACTAAAATTTCTGCTTATAGGGTATTCAATGATAAGAAATAAATCTTATAATTTTTTCTTTGATCGATGTGTCAAAAAAAACTTGGATGGAAAACTTCAATGTGCGTAGATCTGTACATTCAGCCATTTTTGAATTTCAGCAAGGTTGTTAATTGTGATGCATTTCTATACAAGTCTTTGATGCATAAATTAAATACTAAAGTGAAAGAAATTTTCATTTTATTATTTTTAAATCATAATCAAATGATAAGAAATGAAATATTTTTTCTTTGATGGAAGTAGTAAAGAAAAATTTGAACGGAAAACATTTTCATCAATGCGCTATGCATTGATGATGTTTTCCATCCAGATTTTTCTTTGATACTTCCGTCAAAGAAAAAAATATTGCATTCATTTCTTAAATACTCAAAGATGAAAGTTGTGTGGATTCTCTCTCTTTTTTTTTTCTTCAAATTATGGATCATTGGGCTAAGTTGGGTTAAAATGGGCTATCAAGTTATATACAATGCATATGCCACAGAGAAGAATTAAATCTTCTAAAAAAAAGGCTATTTTCCTTTATCAGCAAGGCCATTTAAGTCATATTGATATTGAAACATTCCCATGTTTTGTGGATTCAAGTTCAGTTTAATCATAACCCTTAGGGCTAACGTGGGACCACAATATGGGGTAATTGTTCACAGAATAAAGAGGGGGAAATTTTCGAATATTCTTCAGATGAACAGGGCCAAGGTGACCCAGGTAATCATTGTGGCCCAAGGGACTCTAGTTTTTTCTCATGAACATTTTCAGCAATGCAGAGCTAAGAGAGAGTTAAATAAACAATTCCAATGTACAGAACTGGCTCCAAAACTTGCTAGAGATGAAACACTTCTTAAGTTGATATGATATACATGTATCAATGACTAACAAATACATGCACATGGACTTCTTTTTATCAATTAGATTTCTTTAATTTCAGAGGAGGTTTATAATGTCTGAAGTGAAAAAACAGAAGAAAAAGGAAGAAATTGTTCTCTGTACAGGGAATAAAAACAAATTAAAAGAATTTATGCAAATACTTGGAGATGATTTTCCATACAAGGTGATAATCATTCAAATTTGTAGGCATACTGATGTGTGAAATTGATATTGTGATCAAGCTTATGCTTTAAACTGGTACATGTATTCCATTTAATAGATAACCAATGCAGATATTGATTTGCCAGAATTTCAAGGAGAGCCAGAGGACGTTGCTAGGGAGAAATGTAAGCTGGCTGCAGAACAGCTGAAGTGCCCTGTGGTTACGGAGGATACCAGTCTGTGTTTCAATGCTTTGGGTGGTCTCCCAGGTCCATATATTAAGTGGTTCCTCAAGAAACTGAAACCAGAAGGTAAACTTTTCCCGCAACTAAAAGTAAATCCAGAGTTCTCCCTTTTTCACTTCCTTGCAGAGACCACACTAATTATTTTAACTTACAGAAGGAGATTTTCTAAGTCATATTTAGTGTTGATAATTTTTGTTGTTGTTGTTGTTTTATTTTTTGTTTCCTTTATGATTTTTTTTTTTTGGGGGGGGGGGGTATATTTTCTTTTTCTTGGAAATATTGAATATACATGTAGATTTTACACAAGAAATTATATTTGTAATGGATATTGCAGGTCTACACAAAATGTTACATGGCTTTGAGGATAAATCAGCCACAGCCATGTGTATTTTAGCCTACAGCTCAGGTGAAAAAGACTCTGAGGTGAAATTATTTTGTGGAAAAACACCAGGAGAAATTGTGAAACCCAGAGGATCAAATGATTTTGGATGGGATCCGTGCTTCCAGCCTGAGGGGTTCACACAAACTTATGCCGAGATGCCTGGAGAAACAAAGAACACCATTTCTCACAGATTTAAAGCAGTTGAACTCTTTAAAAAAAATTTTCAAGATGGAAGCTAATATGAAATCAGAACACAAAGCACTTTGGTCGCTCATTGTATCAGGTGGAAAAAAGAAACGCAAATCTGCCATAAAGAGCTCTTGTGTTTTCCATGTAAAACTTTGTGGTCGATGAAAGGTAAATTTTCTCAGGGTGTTTTAGAAGTGATGAAATCATTGGAATGCTATGGAAAAGGAAACTGTTCTTTTACATAAAGAAACTGATAAACTTATCTGGAAAGTATCGTGCATTATATACATAAACGATTTAGACAGAAAGATATGCTTAAAATAAGCTTTTTTGTGTATGAGATCAGAACTAACAACTTTCATTTACATGATATTTGAAAATAATACATATAAGTACTTCTACATTCTTTACAAGTGTTTTTTGTAACTAAAAAATGAATAGTAGAAAAAAGTCATGTGAAATCTCAAGGAATGGCGGCTTGAAACAATCAGTGATATATGTCATAAATCCAGTAAACAAAATGAAATGAATCATAAACAGGGCAAAAACATGGATTTTTGGAAACACCAGAGGGATCAAGTGCCTAGGAGGAGTAAGCATCCCCTGTAGACTGGTCACACCTGCCATGAGCCCTATGTATTGATCAGAGTGTAAAAGCAATAACCTAACAAATTGTCTGAAACCTGTCAGGCAAAATACGACCCAACGATAGGTTGTATTTACAAACAAGGTCATTATAATGACTGTAAAATTGCAAAAAGCTGACTAAATTATCACATTTAATTTTACTTTTGATTTAATTATTACATCCTTGTAGATTAATATGATCCTTGGGTTCTAGAGTGATGGCCAAGAGTCATGTTAAAATTCAGTAACCAGCAAAGATCAAGATTTCCATGTTTTATATAAACAACAATACATATACAACTGTACTTAGTGACTTTTGTCAAGCTATGTGATCAATAGCATAAAGAACAGTAACATCTGGAATATGTAAATTTACAATTTATTTCCTGTTTTTGAGAAAGGACAGAACTAAATTTTACCAAGCTTGATATCTGCAATTCTGTCATTCATTCTTACAGTGTATATTACTTGTATGTATATGATAGATTTTTAATTACTGTTTCTTTCACATTCTTGAAAAAGTGTTCAATGGTCTTAGAATTCACTTTATCTTATTCCAAGATCACATTCTCACTTATTGATGAATTCCCTGTGCCCTTTACAAGGTATAGCATACACATATGCTGCTATTCTTATGACTGAAGCAATGTTAATGTCTCTGGATTAATCACTGGGGTGTGGCAAGTCTCACAAGCAGTTTCCCATAGTCTCCACTTGTGTCCCCCTTTATGGCCAGAGGCAGACTTTCTCCATACTTCTTTAAGTATGCATCCCCAATATCTTTCAAATCAATCTAAAAAAACAAACCACACAACTGAATCTGAAAGGTTTTATTTCTAAAATGAATTTAAAGCCAAAATAGACACAATTCTGATCACATACCTCACAATGGGAGACAATTAATTCCATGAGTCTTTCATCATTTGTTCCTAGTCCCTTAATACACTTGTGGATACATTCTGCATAGTAATCTGTGGGGTCTTTAATACACTTCACTGTAAATAAAAGCAAAATCAAATATTTTCATATTGAAATTACTTACAGAAAGTCTAAATTTAATTGTACCGGTACTGTAAAATCACTAATTTCATTAATTTTCATGTGGGTTTATTTTCATTGTTTCAGTAGTATGAACTAAGACGAGACACAAGGATTCATGTGCTCAAAAAATGTTAAAATTTCTAATAGTATCATGTTTTTTTCTTCAACCACAATATCAAATCCTCACATGTCAATATTTTTCCTCAAACCACAAAATAATAGGTGATATTAGGCCACTATTTTTTTTATTTGTTGTCATTCAAGATGTTTATCCAAAATATTGGGTCGGTAGGTTCGTAAAAAGATAACATTAATTACAAACCTCTAAAAATACCCCCCCCCCTTCTGAAAAATAAAAATTGCATACCAGTTATAGGTATATTTGAGTAGCTAAAGTTCTTAAACATCCATTTATAGGATTCATCGGAAGCTTATAATCCTAAATATATAAGATATAAACTTTTTTAAAAAAATTCAGAAATACTTATTTTTTGTGGTTATTGAATAAATTTTTCAAAAAAATTTCATTTTTTTTTTTCAAATTCTTGAAAATTTCAATCAATCAGTTTTGAAAAACAACTAATAAAACAATGGCCTTACAGTATCTACCATACCAATAGCCAGGAAAGCCTTGCACAGGTTTCCACTGGTCTCGGATCGGATAGCACCTTCAATGTCTTGTTGGCTGATTCTTCTGTACTGGTCAAACACAGCCTGTAGGTGTGGAGGACTGCGTGAAGCCAGGATGCTGTTGAAGACAGACGTATGGGTTCCTACTCTGTTCTCACCTGCCTATAAATGATTGTCTGGAAGACTGAACATGTTCTAGAATAACTGTCATACAGAAGAGACAGCATGCATCCACAGGAGTTTTTCCCCCTTATTTTGACATCTTGTAAGTAGAATATTGTTTAGAATAAATCTGTTTACATAAATTTTATCTATACAGCCATAATTAAGTGGACTAAGGTATATATAATGAAATGGTACTTTGAATTTGCTGACAGTGAAAATTTCATGTCTGGTTAAGGGGTCTCTCTAGTGCTAATAGGCCAAGTTAGAAATATGCCCCTGTTTGAAGAATTGTGTTTTAAAAACATTATTTTCAAAGTATACAGGCCATGAGGTATATATACCTCAATTTTCAAAAAGCATGTTCAAGCTCATGCATTTGTAAAGGCAACTCATGCCAATATATATATTTTTATCACTTTAAAACCAAGGTAAAATTCCTAAAGATTGTCTTTAGTAAGATTGAATTTAGTAAGATACCTCATATAAATCCCTGGCATCTTTTTGGACCTTTTTGTCATCCATCTCTTGGTCTTCACTCCTGTTCCCTTGTAGCAGGCTGATCAGGATGTGCTGAAAATGGCCACTAGTATCTTTCCTTACATCATCTTCTAATGATCTTTTGAAAACTGGAAATGTCCATGTAGTCTTACTTCATTTCAGTTTTTAAAAGTTTTAAAAGACAGTAGGATTAGTAAAGGCAGTGTCAAAGATTGAATATCAAAACTAGATGATACCCCTATTACAGCATAGAACCTGATGAGTTTTGTCATCTATTTTTAATTTAGCCTTTGTTTTTATACTGAATTTGACTACGGAATGTTCCGTCTACCTGATGAATACTTTGGGCTCGCAGCGGGTGTGACCGGTCAGTAGAGGACGCTCGCTCCTCCTAGACACCTGATCCCACCTCTGGAATTTCCAGGGATCCGTATTTTATGCTCTCTTCACAGAATTGTATTGTTTATAAATTTTTTTTTTAGATCGAACACTGTTCGTTATCTTCACCTTTAATATTATCATCAAACACAAACCAATGAAACATCTATTTTTGATACTTGCAAGTCAGATATTCCTCTTTAATGTCTTGGATTTCACCATTTGTTTTAGTACACAGAATTTCTATTAGCCTTTCTTCATCTGTCCCTAGGCCCTGGAAAAGGAAAACTCAAATAAAGTAAAGGACCAACTAGACAGAACATTTTACTTAGCATTACTTGTGGTACAAAGTAGTTAATATTGCTTTCAACAAAATGAACATTCTTTTAATTAATCCAATTACTGTACTAAAATTGCAGTCAGGGTACACTAAAGTATTTCATACATTAAGTTATCAAATTTTAGTTTGTTAATCAAATATCTCGTAGAAGTCAGTTACATGTTGTGGTATGAGTTCAGTCCCCCTACCTCTATAGCCTGATACAGACACCAGGCATCAAACATTCTACTGGGCATCAACAGGTACAGACACAGCTTTTCAAAGTTACCACTGAGGTCACTCTTTAAGTCCTCCACCAAGTCCTACAGAATAAAATTAGGAGCTTCTTCAAACTGATCATGCCAATACAACCGTTTTGGTTTTATTTTAAAAAATTCTGCATCAGCTTCTTTTCTTCTGCTTTATTTCCAAAATGATATTTACTATTTATCTATTTATGTTATAGAACAATTAAAACAAATCATTTTTATTTAAAATGGGCAAAATATCAATATTACATATTGGAAAGATCACCTGACCAAACATTGTTTTGTACATCTTTTTGATTTCTTGTCGTTCATAGTTGATGTGTCCAGCTAAGACATCAATTATAACTTTTTCGTCAGTTCCTGAAAGAAATGATAAACTTAATAAAGAATTAGGTCACTTTGAACTCAAAGTATAACGTAATAATGTGTGCTCTGCGAGATTTCAAAATCTCATCAGAGATCCAGATAAAGAAGTTTTGTCTAGACACGTGCCTATGTTTAAATGCAGCAGTTCTGGAGAAGTCAAATAGGAACAAATGAAACATGAAGATAACCAACGGTAATCAAGTTCAAAAATCCATTGAAACAATACAAATCAGTAGCAAAACGGGACCACTAAAAGCATTACGGGTGGGATCAGGTGCCATGGAGGAGTAAGCGTCCCTTGTCGACCGGTCACACCTGCCGTGTGCTCATTTTCATGATTGGGCAAACAGAAAAATCCATAGACAATTCAGTGAGTAAAAAATGGCTGAACAATAAGTATGATTGTACAAACGAATTCTTGGGTGGAAGACCCCTTTAGACGCCCCTGACGAAGAGGGGAAGAAATTGAAATTGAACTTCCACCTTTGTGGTCAATAACAGTAGAAGTCATTGTTATGCCCCCGTAATCCAAGATTCAGGGTTATATAGTTTTTGCCCTGTTTGTCCGTCTGTCTGTTTGTTTGTTTGTCCGCAAAATTTTAACATCGCCCATAACTTTTGATTGGTTGGAGTTATGGCTTTCATATTTTACATGTGTATTCCTTGTGACAAGACCTTTCTTTGGGCATCAACATATTTGACCTCTTGACCTTGGAGTTTAAATACTTTTGCAAAAATTTAAGGAACTTTAACCTTGGCCATAACTTTTGAATGGTTAATGCTAGGGCTTTCATATTTCATATGTATATTCATTGTTACAAGACCATTCCATGAGTATAAATACCGTGTATATTGTGAAATTTTGACCTTGACCTTAGAATTTGACTCTCTTTTAAAAAATTTTAACTTTGGGCATAACTTTTGAACAGTAAGCATTAGTGCTAAAAAAATATCACAAGTATATTCCTTGTAACAAGAACTTCCTTTGGATACCAACAATTTTGACCTTAACTTGGAAGTTGACCTTATTTTGAAAAACTTTAACCTTAGCCATAACCTTTGAATGGTTAGAGATAGGCCTTTTATATTTTGCATGTTTATTTCTTATGACAAGGTCTTTCACTGCGTACCATTGCTATTTCACCTTTTTCATTTTCATTCATGGGGGTGGAAAACTTTCTTTCGAATGTTAATGTATAAAAATTTTAATTCAAGGACTCAGCTCCATGTTATTATTGTGTCTACCCAAAAATTTCTGCGGAATCTGTGCGCACACTTTTGCTTGTCAAGTTTTTTCTACACCCCCAACCCCCATCCCCTAGAAAAAAAAAGATGGTTCGTACCTGCGTTATATTTAGAATTTGAAATACTTTTTTTAATCCACTAGGTTGAAAATTTGAAACTTTAAATACTCAAGTAGAAAGTTCAAGATGCTATCTTGAGAATTCGAGATATTTAAAAGTTGAAAAATGAAAGACAGTACAAGAATTGAAAGTGAAAAGTTGAAAATTGAATTCTCAACCTCTCTTTTCAATGTTTAACGTAAAAAACCACTTGTCAAAGCTGCTTTTGGTCGCCCTTACCGAGCCCCCGTATGGCTTTATGCAGACGATTGGAGGCCTCCTCGGGGTCATGATTTCCACCCGCTGGTTTGACTGTTCCCTGAAAATTTGAAATGTTTTACAGACCAAGTATCGTTTTTAAGTAGTACAACACCATCGCATTGAAAATTTAAACAAATGTGATTTCAGTATAAAATCTTTCATTTTAAAATTAGAATTATATTTTGTTGTTAAGTGTGTGTTTGTAAACAAATCTCGTTTATGACAGCACATGTATTGCGATATTTAATGCTTGTATGATAACTGGCACACACTATGATTTTTAACTCTGAACAGTAAAATCAATCAATTAACTTTAAAAAAAATTATTAAATATATATTTAATTTGCCTTTTCTTCATACCACACAGTACATACCTCATAATAAACAAGCGCCATGATCCTAGTTTTATTAAGAATACCTTTATCGATTTTGTATTTATTATGTTCATAAGCTGTTGTGAATACGTGTTTAGCTTTTCTTTTTCGTTTAAATGCCAAAAGCCAGTTAGAACTTTCAGTATGAAAATAAAAATGAAATTCGCATTTCTAACTCATGATTTCACATGCACATGGGATATCTTTCTAGAAATAAGATGTGTTTGTGAAACACTGATGCCCCAGTATGGCAGCCCATGGCGAGGGTTCAAGTTTCTCAAATGCAAATCAAACTCCAAGGTCAAGAGATCAAAAATGTTGGTACCCAAAGAAAGGTCTTTTCACAAGGAATACACCTGTGAAAGAATAGGTCAAACTCCAAGGTCATAGGTCAAAATTAATGGTGCACACGGGAAGGTCTCGTCCCAAGGAATATAAACGTAAAATATGAAAGTCCTAGCATCAACCATTCAAAAGTTATGGCCAGGATTAAAATATTTCAAAAGTAGGTCAAATTCCAAGGACAAAAGGTAAAAACTATTGTTACCTTGGGGAAGGATTTATTACAAGAAATACACATGTGAAATATGAAAGCCTTAGCACCAACTGCTCAAAAGTCATGACCGAGGATAAAGTTTTCCAAAAGAAGCCCACACTCTAAGCTCATGGTCAAAATTGTTGGTACGCAAAGGAAGGTCTTGCCACAAGGAATATACCTGTGAAATATGAAAGCACTAGCACCAACCTTTCAAAAGTTATGGCCAATGTTAATTTTTTTAAAAAGTAGGTCAAACTCCAAGGTCAAGATCAAAAGGTAAAAAATTATTGTACCCAAAATCATATCACAGGGAATACACATGTGAAGTATGAGAGCCCTAGCACCAACTGTTCAAAAGTTATGGCCAAGGTTAAAGTTGGATAAATTTTTCCAAAAATGGGTCAAACTCCAAGGTCAAGGTCAAAATGTCATATGTTGGCACCCAAAGTAAGGGTCTTGCCACAAGGAATACACATGTGAAATATGATAGCCATGGCTTCAACCAATCAAATGATATTGGCAAGGTTAAAGTTTTTGCGTGCAAACAGATAGACAGACGGACGAACAGGGCAAAAATTATATACCCCCGAATCTTTGATTACGGGGTCATAAAAAGGGAGAGGAGGAAGCCAATCATGAACTATAAGACTTCCTACATTCAGATTTATCAACATATATTAAAAATTAATTGTTTTTTCCCAATGTTATTTACTTTCTTAGAAGAAAACCAATGCAATCGGATTTCATACATTTGGTAACTTAATTAAATAAATCTTATTGTTACGCAACACGTGCAAATTATATTTTCCCGTGTGAATTATTTAATCAAACGCGTTTTTGGATCTAACTTTAAATATGCCTTTGTTCTTTATTTTTTAAACTTGCAAAGAAAAGTAACAAAGTTATACATGACGATAACAATTCAATAAGAGATCACTCTAAACCACTTCACCACGCCGGATCGTGTAAAGAAAGCCCGGATTTGGATTTCTTCCATCTGCTTCATTATAAATATGCACATTTCGTACCTCCTTGTGATCGATCAAAAGTCAACGTCTAAATACTTTTTGCAGCAAATCCAAATTTAAAAGGTTGTTTTGTAACACTAGATTTCCGTGTTCTTTTTCCTAAAGGTGAACACTCCCATGCCGAAGTGCTGTGTTTTAATCCTAAACACGGGTTCAACCATTGATATTGCTGCCAATATATGCCCAGCTTAACATACTATTAATGTAAAACTTTATCGGGATACCTACTTGAAAATTTTAAAATTCGCTATGAAAATTTTTGGAGATGAGAACAGTCAACTTCTTGGCTTTGCCAAAGTGACAGTGTAGCGCTTTATGTATGTTAAGGATGTCTAATGATGGTGTCGTCTGCTGGTTTGGTTATTTTCGCCTGCAGAGACATTTGAAATGAGGAATGGAAAATCCAAGATGTGGGAAAGTAGTGACCTGTTGGCTTGTCTTAGGTAAGTAATAAAAGTTATTTAAAAATCTGTTAATCTAAAAATGTCGTAGTAAAAGGGAGAAAATGTTCCAAAACTTATCCATTTATTAGGACTAGAAGCAACACATTTGATATAGATGAAGGTTTGAAAGAATATGTTAGACTTCTGAGCTAATTTTAAATTTTCCTAGCATGTTTAAGCTGAAAGATAACTTTATCGATTACTTTTAAAATTTAATTTTTTAATGAAGTCTAGATTTTTCAAACGAAGATTGAGTACACTAAGTGGTTTTCATAAAAAGCCATAGATATTCAATATCCGTTTTTAGCTCACATGGCCCATGCACCACTTTGCGTCCGTCGTTGTAAACTTTTTTCAACAATTTTTTTCCCCGAAACTTTATAGTAATGATGTGGGATAAAATCTACTTTTCATTTTGATCCAATCAAAATCAAGGCTTTTGTTACTATTAATAGAACATAGGGGTGATAGGCAGTTTTTTGCTTAAGATTCATTAAATAAGATTTACTTGTCTACCAAACTCCATTAATCTTAAATGTTGAAGTTATAGCCCTTGGAATATAAATTTGTTGTGTAGTTTTTATGTCCCCGTAATTGAAGATTCGGGGGCACATAGGTTTTTGCATTGTCCGTCCGTCCATCCGTCCGTCTAGCTGTCTGTCTGTCAGCAAAAACTTTGCCCATAACTTTTGATTGGCTGGAGCTATGGCTTTCATATTTCACATATATAGATCTATCTTTGGGTACCAACATATTTGACTCCTTGACCTTGGGGTTTGACCCACTTTTGAATTTTTTTTTTTTACCAAACTTTAACCTTGGCCATAACTTTTGAACCTTTGGTGCCAGGGCTTTCATACTTTCATACTTCACTGTGTATTCCTTGTGACAAGACCTTTCTTTGGGTACAAATATTTTTGACCTTGGAGTTTGACTTGCATTTGAGAAACTATAACCTTCGCCGTGAGCTGCCATACAGTGTTTCACAAACATATCTTGTTTGGCTATGTTAGTTTTTGAAAATTCTATGATAGATGAAAATTGTTCATGTAGGAACAAAAATGACCAAATAGACAAAGAAGGCGGGCGAAGAAGGCGAACGAAATTCCTATTGTGCGACAAACATGAAGGCGAAAAATTTAATCTCAATTATTACAAATTTTTCTTCGATATTTCATCCAACATTAAAGTTCACTTTATAAAATCTCCACAATTTTCAAAAATCTCACAAAGATTGAAATTATTTGCTTAAGAATTAGTATACACACACACCAAAGAGGGGGAAAAGATATTTTTTTCTCACTATAATACAATTTTTCGATATGAGATGGTCTTCGCTCCATTTTTTGTTGTTGTTGTTGTTGAAGTTTATCCACCAAGTTTGCGTTAAAATGTACATTTTTTTGGTTAACAAAAATATGGAGCAAAAACCCACTATACCTTAAAAATACACTTTAGTAACACAACATTCTCTTCTTTCCGAGAAATACTTAGAAGTCCATTTAGTCAAGGGTAATATCGCAAACATGATTTAAATGACACTATTCATTAAGAGTTGTGTAGCGTAGTGGTTAGCATATTGGTCTCAAAGGAAAAATATATTCATGATTTTTATTGCTAGGGTTCGAACCCCGCGAGTACCAAATTATTTTTTAGTAATAGAAAAAAAATGCTGAGAAAATTTACCTCAGAAAAGTTTCGTTTATCATAATTTCATAAATTTCTTTATATATGTACTAATTTACTAAATCACAAATTGTATATGATTTTATAATTATATCTGAAGCTATAGGCATTCAGATATAGGCCTTTTTCACCCCCCACCCCCCCCCCCCACCCCAATATGCAACTAGAGTCTAAAGATATTTTTATTTGTCTTTTTTCATCAATTGTTCTTATAGAACACATTTACAATGTATTCCATATGGAAATTCCAAAAAATAACGTAGAATTAATGTTTTAATTAAAAAAAAAAAATCATACCCGCTGTATTATAAATATTTATATCCTTGGACCAAGGATGTACATTCGGGAGGGGGGGGGGGTCTACAAGCACCCGTGGTTTAGCTAATTCTGCAGCTATCTCATCATCCATTTTTGAATTATTACCCCTGAGCTGTCAACATTTTGTGAATTTTTAGTTCTTAAACCAGACAAGTATTGAGAAATTTTTGTTTGCTTCAGCCAGGTGATTCTGGTTCTTTGGAACCTCGTGTTTTAAAAAGATGCTGCATTGAGGTCCTTAATATTCTCGTAATCTTTCCTTGTTGGTTTGCCATTTTGAGGAATGCGCTCTATTGATTCAATGTTTCATTTAAATTTGATTTACGTCATATGAAAGGGGAGTATTGTTTTATACTGGATATAAACAGAGGGCAACGAATAGGTTACTTTGTATCTTATGGTCAAATGTTTGTCGTTTCAAAAATGGAGATTAATGAAAGTATTAAATGAACTTTGCAATTCCCTCTATTTGCAGATCTCACCTTTTTAAAAAAGCCTTTACTTGAAGTGGAAAGTGTATATACGTATGACTTGTTTTAATATCAACGTGACTCTATTTTCAGAATGTCTTACTATTTTATAGGTGATATAAGATTGTTTTAGTCTTCCTTTTATTATGTAGATTGTTATATCTATGTAAAGCGCTTTAGAGTTCACAAAAGATAAGGCGCTATATAAAATTTTATTATTATTATTAATATTATCTAGTAGGTAAAGAGTGAGTGGAGACCCAGCTATTTATTCTGCGTAATAGAATTAGACCACCATTACTGCATTCAATGTTTATTTATTTATACAAAATTTTATTTAAAAAAAATTAAATGTTAATTAAATGACTAAACAAAGACGTGCATGTACAAATTTTATGCCCCGCCATGAATATGGCCGGGACATATAGTGTTTGTCATATCCGTCTTCCGTCCTTCTTTCCTCCCGTCTTTCTGTTTTGCGTTTAGCTCAGTTCAAAACACAATTTCAAAAAAATTATTCAAGATAAATTTTATCAAACTTAATATGCTGATACATATTGACGAAACCTATTCAACTGCATCCACATTTTTTTA